TGTAGACATACGGAAATGCTCCCTTAAGTATGGACCAGCAGCTTTTTTGATGATTTCTTCCGCGTAGAAGTGTTGATCCATTATACCTGCGGGTTTAAATAATATGTTAGCATATTGTAACAATTTATTTAGCATAGCCTACTTTGCATGCATTGCTTTCAAAACTTCATCACTCACCGTCAAAAATGACCAACGGACCAGGTCCCCATCGAGAAATTCCACCCCAAACATGCATTTTGACCGGGTGCTTCACTCTTGGTTTTGCAATGCCCCTGAAGTTGGTCTTTCTCCAGCACTTCAAGGCAAAACGTTCCAGTGCCACAGTTGACTCGTCAGTGAAGAGAACATCATCAAACTTCTCACCAGCAGCCTTCCATTCTTGAGCTTGGATCACACGCAAATCTTTGTTTTTTCCTCTGGTCATTGGAACGAATCTGTAAGCAGAATTTATCAAAATGTTACTATAAGAATGACATGTTGAGTGCCCGGTTATCACGATAAGTAATTAACAAAGAGACGCGTGTTACCTGGGCTTCCCAAAGTTCCAGCCAAGAGTCCGGACTGCCTTTCTCACCGAGTGTAACCCGATGGTTATGTTGTGCCGGCTTTGGAGAAGCTCTTTTACTTTTCTTGCTGGTAGTTCATCGTCTGCTCTCAGGATGGAGTCTATTATTTCCATCACCTGACTGAAAGAGACACATTGTTTCAGTACATAGTTTGGTAAAGCCTGTTGTTATTTTGTTCACATGTGAAACTTACAAACTTGAGTATATATTTAAATAATAAAAAGTACATTTACCTTGTCAATTTATGTGGCTTGCGTTCCTTCTTCTTCTCCACAACAGCACATCGGCAATGACGCTGGATAGTTCGCAAGGAAGCTGTTATTCCAGTTGTGGCCAAGTGTTTGGCGATAGCGCTAGTCGTCCAGCCTTTCTTACGCAGACTCTTGATGAGCTCACTGACTTGTGCGTTGATCACCGCCATCGCTGACATCTAGTGTAAATATACATTACCATCGGTCGAACTATTTATCTTGATTTTTACACACACCTCCCTCCCCCTACCGCCCACTCCCTGTGTTTTTTCCCCGGCCCCGTCCCAATCACGAGATAAGATGTTTTGCATATGTGAGGAAGAACTGGATTTTCGACATTCCTGTGGTCAATCTACACTGTAAGAAATGATTCTGTGGTCATGTAGATTTGAATTAATGTATCAGGTAAAATATATTCAATATAATTGTGTTTTTGATTTTCAAGCAAACATTTAATTACATTTCATATAAAAATGTTCTGAATAAAATCCACCCATATTATTTAAATACATATTAAGCAATATGTTTATCTAATTCCAAACAGACAGAATATTGAGTGAATTCAAATTAATATAATCAGACAAATTTGAATGGGAAAGCACTTCCAGGTCAAAGTGCACATTATATTTTTGTAACTGACGCTGCAGGCTATCATCGCGCCACAAGACATTTGAAGAGAGTTGCAGACTTTGATTGATCTGGACTACTAAGGTAAGGTAAGGAAAACGTATTCTATGATGGGCTAGTGAGAAGAAAGCATGTAGTGGTAAATGACAATGAGGCGAGCTATAATAGAACAAGAGACTCAGTAGCAACAGAAAGTTGGCTTCTGTTGGAAAGGCTATTTGATGTATTAGCGTGATGTTGCTGCCCAAAATATGAAAAAGGCATTGCACATTTTTAAAGAATTTATGGTTCGAAGACAAACAATTATTTTGAAGGAGCATTTCCGCTATGGTGTTCCCTACGTTTCAGCGTTCCCTGCATGCCTCGCGTGTTGATATCGCCAGTATGGCACAAGCCGTGTGCGCAGTTTGTGGAAAAACAGACCACCCGAAACTGTAAAGTTCGAGTATTTGTGAAAGAAGAAAAGTGCACGTGGCTCGTCTGTTCAGTACGAAGTCGTTATGTGTGGCTTTTTAGCGCGGGTTAGCGGCAGTTGCTCGGGGGGGTTTCTGAGTAGATTAAGCACGTTTTGAATGTCTAACACAGCGTGTCTTTCCCGCGCGTACCTGTCTCGCTGCAGAGGGGAAACAGGGCAGTGGCAGAGCGCGGGGAAGGGTCGACACCATGCGCTCTCGTGCAGGGTAGCGGGGATGAACAGATCCGATGCAACGAACGCATCCATGAGAGCGGAGAGAGACTTATTAAAAATTATTATTTGAGCGCGTGTGATTAGTGCAGCAATACAGCGGCCCTGTTTAGAAGACCGTTAGAGCTTATCGGTCCAGGTGGAGCGGCACACCCCTCATGACAATGAAAGAACAATTTGAGACCAAGGCCCATGGGAAAATAAAATGTAATAAAATAGATGTAAAAGCTATGAAAACAATAATGAATGTAGTGTCTACTATTTTTGTTCTGACAGTTTTTTATAATAAGACACTTACAATTTCATGTTGCAGGACACTGAGAACTTGGAGGAACTCCAACAGCAGCTCATAATGACTATCACTGTGACCTCAACGCCTGGAGCTTCTGCAAACGACAGGCCCAAGAACGTTGGAATTGTCATAGAGGGTGTGGAAGTCATCACAGGACTTGGAGATATTGCAAGGGCTTGCTCTGTCCTCCTTGGCTTGACCTATGTGTTGAATCTCAGTTATCCCACACAGCTGAAGTACACATTTGAGGTATTCCAAAAACTTTTCTTGGAACTGGATGATTCAAAGTTGTCAAACAAAGTCCAGTCCCTCAAGAGCAAACTTCTGGCTTGAAATGAGACTGTAGTTGCAACATAAACTTTTGTTCTACACAATGTTCACCTTCTACAGAGCTTGAGAAATGCATATTTGGAAGTGCTATGTTTGTGAGTTTGCACTGATTTGGACTTTGTCCCACAAAGGTCAATTACATTTCAAATGTTATTTCAAAGAACATTTATTTATTTTTATTTTTTATTTCTACCGTGTACAAATGGCACTTTAGTAATTTATGTAAAGTAAAGTTCTGGTTTGAAATGTGTGAGCAGACTTCTAGTTGGAACATGAGACTACAGAGCTAGGAAAATGCACATTTCAAAGTGCTATGTTTGTGAGTTTGCACTGATTTGGTTACGTTTCATAGGTCAAAGAACAAATGTTTTTTTTCCTACTTTGTACAAATTGCACTTTTATGATTTTATGTTTTGGCACATGCATACTGCTTCTACTGGCTGCTGCTTGAGATGCCTCGGATAACCGAGGCATCTCAAGCAGGTTGTTAATTGTTAATAAAATGCTAATTTGAGTATTAATTGAGTTCTGTACTTTATGGGCAATGTACTAGTTATTCTTAAATGTATTTAGATTTAATTCATTGCATTGATTGAATTCAAATCAATGCACAGATTAGTAATACATTATTATTACTCAATTATATACAATTGATAGGTAGAATTTAATTAATTTTTATTAGTACTATTTGCACATTATAGGGAGTTCATATTCTTCAAATTAACTCAATATTTTTGTTTAGTTTTAATTAATTCTGCTCTCTCTTCCTATTTGAATCTACTCATATTAAATAGATAAATTTTAAGTGTCTTATTTAATTAGTATTTACTCAATTCTAAGCAATGTAAAATCTAATTAAAACAATTGCTTGTAATCTGTTGCCTCATTTTTATTGAGTAGATATGGTGTATTTTTTCGTACAGTGTAGACATTTAGGCAATAATGTGTGTATAAAAATAACAATATTTAAATTATGACTTTTAATAAAAAAGGCTAATGACTTTAGAGGTGAAGAACAAATTTGAGTAGGCCAAGAAAAAAACTGGCCTACGCGGGCCTATCCCTGGCGCCGCGGCTGCTTCAAATATACATCTATCTTTTATTTCAGTCATTGTGAAAAAAAGGAATATTTGACATAATATAAATAAAAGTGGTGTGTTCATCTTTGATTGCTGTCCGCCTCGGTTTATGGACCAGATATCAAGTCCTAGAAAAAGAAAGAACAAATACATTAATACATTTCAGACTTTTCTTCTTTTGAATCTCAACACTACCTGTCTATTGTATATTCAACACTATTGCAGGAGTTGAACTTCTGACAGCAGATACAAGGTTACAATCGTTAGAGGAAAGGTAAACATGCATGAATTTTAACATTTGACGAATACTGTTTTTTGTAATGAATGTAAATTGTCTTATTGGGAAGCAGCAAATCAATGGAGCGGAAGGAAGAGGCTTTGAATGAGAAACAAGCCAACAATCTGGAAAACAGTGTGTACGTCATTCTCAATGTAATTCAATGTGTATGTGTTGTTTCATAATTTACATATTGGGCTGTTCTTTTTTAAGAATGGGGCCCCATCAACACCTGCTGATGGGCCAGGGGTGTGGACGTGAGTGGTCCCTTTGATACAGAGTGCCTCTCGTAACTACAACAATAGAGCCATTGTTGCTGCTAGCGATGGCGACAATTACAATAACACGCGTATGTTTCGAAGACTCTACACGCTCAACAACTAACTAGTTACTATTGCGATTGCAATGTACATACATTTAAAAGGGAAAATGTTCGTACGGTGGTGTAGTTCAGAAAAAGCCCCGTTTTTAAACAAACCGCTGTTGTATATGCTTGCTGTGTGGTGCGTTAAAAACGAGGTGTTGAGGCCGCTTGGCCAATCCAACCATATCTCAAATTACATTATTTACACATATAGTAACTATAACTAATTACTTTTTCAAAGTAACGTGCCCAACACTGCATGCGGGAATAATCAATACTTTCACCTGCCGTGTCTCGCATTGCGCACACCGGAGAGAGCGAGAGAGTGTGTGTGTCTGTGGGGGGAGGGGGGAATATGGCCCATACTGTACCTGTGTATATATCACGTGGACTATAGAGCACTGGCTGGGGGGGCACAAGCATCTTGGGGGACGGGCACGGCCCCCTATGGCCCGCCCATAGCGACGGTATGAGTATATATAGACATGTCCTTAACAGAGGTCCTACTGTACTCCAGTATTTCGGGAGCATGGAAGCCAAAGGTTTTTACCACGAACGCGCTTCCAGAGTCGCCAAGACTCTCTTCCCACGGAACGAAAACTCACCTCAAGCCGAGGTGAAACAACGGGTACGTTGTTAAATGTAATGTTGAATATGAATGTTATTAGGCCCTAGGAGTATGTAATATTAAACAATGCTACAGCCTCTAATGTCTTTGGCAATGTTTCTTCCAGACTCCAGGCAAACGTTCGCCAGCATCATCTTTGCGGCAATGCAAAACAGCAAAGCGTCTCGTCACAAAAAAAGCGGTAAGTGTAATCCTGTATTATGTGTAGTGTATAATGGCCAATAAGCCAGGCATCCTCGCTTAACTAAGCCACGACTCATGACTTTTCTCAATTTCAATACAGGCAGCGGTTTCCATGTCGCTGGTGCGTGACAATAAGGACCGCTGGATGGCAGACATTGAACAGCGTCTAGCCGTGAGGACAGCGGAGCTTACTGCGGAACGAGCTCGAGTAGGTCAGCTGCTTGCTGAGAATGAAAAATTGCACGCTGACCTGTCAGCCAGCAGAGCGGAGACCGACAACCTCCAACAACAGTTGCAGGGCCTGAGAGAAACCCCATCTTCTGCTGATGAGAAGATACAACACATGTTTGATGTTTACATCAAAGAAATGCAAATCTGTTTGATTCTGAATTATTTCAATAGTTAATTGTGATGTTTTCATTTCTGACACAAGAAAATATACAGTAATAGGACTATCTTCAGCAACGGCTTTCATTAACTGCTAAGGTTTTCTTTTGGGGTTTACTGGACTAAGTTTGAAATGTATTAACAAATGTGTACTTTGTGTGTTTTGTTTGAGGGGAAACACCTAAAACACCACTTTTGATGCTAAAAAGCTCAGAGTTCATTCATGTGAAGGAGACACCCACTCCCACCCCCACCAATCATCAACCAGCAGGCCAAACCAAGCCAAACTAAGCCAAACCATCAGGCCAAACCAACGGCTAAATTTTGCAACGACAGAAGCAATGATGCAAAGGGTCATCCAGAGGTCAGACTCAAATCAACAACTTGACTCTGTGTGTTTTTGGGACATTTTGCAGATTTCCAAAAAATCTGAAAGACTGGGTTGACCAAAGACATCACCTTTGTGCAAAGATCTGAGGACTGGAGGTTTCCAGTTTTTACTGTCGGTTCTAAAGTGTGTGAACAGGACAGAGGCTTCTGGACATGATGGTGCTGGACTTTGCTGACTGCAGAAGATATCAGGGTGTGGAGGCGTGTCTACAGCAGGCGTTACTGGACAATAGGATTTTTGGTGTTGTCGTCAAAAAAAATTTGACTGACGTGTTCAGAATTTGATACAGAAATAAGGCCAAGAATGCAGGAGTTAAAAATAGAACATTTAATTCTCTTTACAATTAAATATTGATACAAAACTCTTGGAGCCCTTAATTCTCTAAACTAACCCTATGCTGAGCCATTCTAACTGTCCCTCCAGGCCTGAAAAATGTGCAGGGGACATCCAGGCGCTCTGCGATGTTCCCTGTCTAACTATCCCTGTTCAGACTGACTGCAAATCTCCTCCCAGCAGTTTCTATCAGAAGGTCCGATGACGTCACAGGTCCCAGACTGGTCCAGTCTGATCCAGCTTTTTCTGGTTTTGGGAGGCGCGTACTCCAGCCAGCCCATGGACTCCGGACTTTGTCTCGGTGCTTCCCCCTCCGTATCTCTGCATTCCAGACCCTTAGCGGCGTCTTCCTGTCTGGGACTAAATCAACAGCTGCGCCGCCTGTTTGCTATCCTTGTCCTTGGGGGATGGTCTGGCCGACTGGACTAGGCCCACTTAATATGAAATCACTGAAAATATAAACGACGTGTGCAGCATTTCTTGAGATGATGCATTAGTGTGGTGTTGAAATTGATAACCAAAGTTGACACATTTGTCATAGTTAATACATTTCAGGTGAAAACATTTCAGGTTAATACATTTCAAATGAACGTTTAGTTTAAAAATGGTGATGCTACTTTAATTTACATGAGTAAATTGGGTATTTGTGTCTTTTTCATTTCATACACATGAATAATTAGGAATTATGTTTAGTTATTGAGCCATTTTTAATGTCTCAAACAGGGGGGAGATATGGTTTATGGAGGAGCAATTACATATGAATATGAAATGATCTCTAAAAAACTTTTTTGAGTTCTTTTCTGTGTGTGTTTCTGTAACCAATGTGATTTTTATAAGACACATGTCAAGAGGGTCTTTAAGTTGAGTCGACGCAACTTGGATTTCAAATGTAATACTGTGTTTGTATTAATTTCATTGTGTTCCATCTTTAAGTTGGTTTACTAAACATTGAATGTGATTAATTCTTTTAATGAAAAACAGGGGGGAATGATAGTAGAGTTGTTGGATTTTCATTAAAGTGAATTAGAATATATTCAAAGTTTAGACAGCTTTGGGTTAACCTACGTGTGTGATGGGATGTGATGGACGCATCAGCAGCATTCTCCCATCCCCCAGTCATAAGTGAAAGACTAGTCTAAATAAGCAGGAAGCCGAAAACATCTGTTTTCAGTAGATCTCATGTTTATTTAGAGGGAAGCCACGTCTTCTCTGAGGGAGAGGAAGGTGGGACATATTGTTGCATGTGTTTCAAATTATCATGGTATAAGACCAGAGCTCTTTGTCCATTCTTTGTCACTCTGCTGCTACATCTAGCTCTGACCCAGACTGGTGCAGTCTGTAAAACTTGTCTGTTTGTGCTGATGTCCAGATAACCTGTAGTTTTGAACCAGCGGCTAACAACATGTATTAAAGAGATTATGTTGTTGAAATGTGAGTAGTTTTTTCACAGAAAGGTTTTCATCTCTTCATGTTGATGTGAAGAGATGAAAAGAATATTTTTGAGACCCAAGCATTGAATTTTCACATTTTATAGTTTGAAATAATGTTGGTCAACGAGTGTCGTCACTGGAAGCGACATCTGACCCTTTGGGAAAAACAACTCAACCGCCATCTTTAAAACCAGCTGCTCTACTCGGCTCTACTTCGGCTACATTACGTCCTCCTCACTCCAGAGAAATGGAATTGCACAGAAAGCCCCAAAAGTCAGCGTCCTGGTCGGTGGACGAGGTCCACACATTCCTCTCTTCAGGCCGAACGAAAGAATTCAAAGGCAGCTCGAGGCTCAACACAGTTTTCAGGGAGATCACCCAGCTCTGGATTTGTGACTAGTGTTAGTATTAGATAGCAATATGGCCTACGTGCAGGACTGTACAAGGACTCTGATTATTTTGACTATGATGTGACTGTCTCTGTGTGACACGTATGTCTTTCGATGTGTGACGTGACAATGACTATATAAACTGTGTACTGACTCCATTTTGTCGGAGAGAAAGAAACAATGGAAACCACTGGAACTTGAGAGAAATTTAAATAAACTTCCAGAGTTTGGCGCACCACGATCCGTCTCTGTCTGGTTCATTCCTGACACTAGTCTGTGGTAATCCTGGAAATAACTGCTACGTTTTCTGTTGGCCCAAAGCTCTCACTGAAATGTATTTACTGTGTGAATGTTTGATTGTCTGTTGTACACAGTGAGATAGCTACACTTAGCTTCATTTAGCTATTGATAGCAGCTAGCTAACGTCCTTCCTGTGCTACTGTGCTTTATCTCGTATTATCAGCAGTATTCACGTGTTTCCAGGTAAACTGATTGAAAAGCTCATGTCTCTCGGTTTAAGTGTTGCCATCTGGATTGGATTTTTAGCTTTTTAACTGACAGATCTCAGAGAGTGAAAATCAATGACTGTTTTTCTGATGTTGTTTCTGTGAGCACTGGTTCTCCTCAGGGATGTATTTTGAGTCCTTTGCTTTTTACTTTGTACACTCACGATTGTGTGTCCTCCTCTGACTCAAACTTGATCATCAAATATGCTGATGACACCACCATCATCGGTCTCATTAGTACCAATGATGAAACCTCTTATAGAGCAGAGATACAAAATGTGGTTCAGTGGAGTAAAACTAACAACCTCCAGTTGAACGCATCAAAAACATGTGAACTGGTCTACGACTTCAGTCGCAATAGTTCTCATTTGCCTGTCGTAATCGACAACTCCAGGTGCAGATCGTAGAGGAGTGCAAGTTTCTGGGTTTAACTCTGTCTAACGACCTGAAATGGGTTAAAACACTGTCTTTTAATGTTGTTTTATGTCTGTATTTGTCTGTGCACAATGGAGACTTTTTGCTAATGTATTCCAATGTGGGTTTTTTTTACTGCAAATGGCAAATAAACTGAATCTCAATCTGAATCTGAATCTTTCCATTCTGTTTTGTGCTTGTAATTAAGTTGTCGTGTGTATATTTGTATGAGAATCCCTTCCCATAAGTGTGGAGATTACCAACAAGCAATGAGTGACCGAGGTACTTAAAATTCTCCTCATCTGGACCTTGTCTCAGACATACATACTTTAGACTTTGTAAACTGTTGGTTTTTCCACTTTACTTTTGTTTTTAATAAATCTGTGATTGTATCCCATGACTTTGTTTCAATAATGTATTATTATTGTAACTGAGGTTTGGGTATTGATTGTTTGTCTGGTCTCTGAGTCTGCTGTACTGGACCTGAGTCCGGACTAGCCTAGCCTAGCCTAGCGTAGCCGCTAACTTGCTATCCCTATGGCTGCTTCTGTCTCTCCCTCAGTCCTGTACTGCTCGAGTTGCCATATGGCGAGTCTAAACCCTGGATCCTTCTCCGAGGATAGTGATGCGTTAAATTGTAGAATAGTTGTAGCTTTGAAATCCAGGGTTAGTGAGTTAGAGTTGCGTCTCCCAGCAATCCAGTCTCGAGCTAGCACTAGCATTAGCTATAGCCAGGCCGTATCCTCACGGACCATAGACTGTATATATTAACGGACAAGTTACGATTTTCTAACATATACTAATGTACTTTTACTACATACATTATATTTGTCAGTAAATCCGTATAACCGTGATACATTTATGAACAAGGATGGAGAGATTTGGTAAATACAAAGGTTTTATTTTTGGTCAAAATAAATGTTTAGGCAGACAAGTTATGCATCGGATAGCCCTCCTCCTCTGCAACCACTGCTATACAGACTGATTCAGATTCAGATTCATTTATTTGCCATTTGCAGTAAAACCACATAGGAAAAACTGTGCAAGACTACCCCGGTGTGCACCAGACAGACTGCTGTTGCTACAGGTATGTCCGTGGTTTTGTGGGTTGTACAGAGCACAGCAGGTCAGCACCATTGGATTCAAATGTTCAGTGTCTGAGTCATTCCTTTATTTTTCACTAACCACTGTGCTGAATTTTCTATTAAATACTTGCTGTTAGTCTGTCACTCTGTGTCCTGAAAATGTTGTAGGAGCCAGTTCTGCAGGGGTTAAGCAGAGTCCCCTGAGAGGTAATTCCCCTGCTATCACGGATAATAAAATAACTCCATACACGCACCAATATTACTAGTTACGCGTTGCGCGTAAATTACGTGGTCTGGCAACGCTGAGGAGATACTAGGAGGTACTATTTTTGATGGAAAAGCACGCAAACTGAAGCGTGCCGTAACGTGTAGAGTCGTTCCGTATCGTACTGACACTGGAAAAGCGGCATTAAGGAGCAGGTTTGGAGGCTCCGAGGATATCAGATAGAAGACTTGCTTACTTACTAAGCACCTGTGCATCATCGAGTAGAATGAGTGGCTTGCTGTAAAGCATCATAATGGTCTCTTGGAAGGATTCTTCATGACATCTCAAAATTGTATCATTAGTCAGCAGTGGTGATTTGTAATTAAGTAAATTTACACAAGGACTATACTTTAGCGGTTTTTGAGGATGTGTACTTTACTTAAGTAGTTTTTTTGTAGAGAACTTATGACTTTATTACTACTACACCACATTTGAAATACAAATATACTTTCACAAATGTAATAATTTTACCAGGCCACATTATTAATGTGTACATTATTAATCTCACACAGGAGAAATTTACATGTCACGTTTGGCATGGATAGAAACACTCAGATTGTGCAGAAAGTAAGAAATGTGCAAACAGGACAGGACATATTATGTACAAAAAAGTGGCAATTAGAAAGTGGCAATGAGAAGAAGTGTCAATAGTAGTGCAGGTTTTATCAGTCTTAGTGCAGTGACTTAAAGTGACTTATTGTACAGTCTGACAGCGGTGGGGATAAAGGCCCTGCGGTAGCGCTCCTTCTTACACTGAGGGTGCCTCTGTCTTCCACTGAAGGAGCTCCTCAGCTGACACAATAGGACAGATGTGAAAAGACCATTGCGTGCATATATAAAACAGCAGCATGGTGTGGTAACTCTCTTCTGATAAAACGAAAACAGTTAAAGTAGTACTTCAAAGCCGTTTTTTAAACATAATTCATCTGAACATGTCAAAATGAACACCCGCAATATTATAAACACATATTGTAGTTATATATTCTGGATTGCAGCATATTCAATTCTAGTACTACTTTAAGATTGGATTTCACCTTCTTACAAACATGCTTAACGTGACTTTGATACTTCAGATGTTTATCCAATATAACACCCAGGTATTTCGTTTCATCCACCTCCGACTTCATTGTTAAGACTAACCTCAAATGAACTATTTAGAGACCTCTTGTTAATAGAGAAGCACATTGCGAATGTTTTTTTTAGATTTAAGATGGGACTGTTCTAGCCATGTTGAGATGCCTGTGTTAACTGCTGCCCAGCAAGAGCTGATGTTTTAGCTGACACATGAATGACTGTGTCATCAGCATAGAGCTGACAGTTCACATCCTGACTTTAGATACCACAGCAAGGATGGCAATAGGCCTGTAGTTACTGGCTTGGTCTCTATCACCAGACTTATATATTGGTATTAATACTGCTGTTTTCCAGCTTTCTGCAAAAGTATTTGTTTGGATAGACAGGTTCACAAGATAAGTAACCGGGTCAAGTAAACTGCTTAGATGTTTTTTTAAATAGAGCTATCCTCAAGTTGTGAATGTCCTTAGATGTGTGTTTTTCATGTTTACAATAATTTTCCTGATTTTATCAACTTCTTTTATTGTGAAAGAGTTTGTGCAGCTATGCTGAATAACATTCTCAGGATTCAGAGTGTCCTTGAATTTATTTGCCAAACTATGGACTGGTTCTACAAAACATTTGTTGAATTCATTGGCAATTAACTGATTGTCTTTAATTATTTCACACGCCCGTTTATTTGGCACAGAATTCCAAATACAATCCTTACATGAAAAAATAAGGTATTATGAACAAATCTGAATCAAGACCACTTGACATTAGAATATCAAAAGACTTGAGGTGCAAAAGGTCTTTAAATTCCAAAACAATGGGTGCTTCTGTGGTATGCATAACCTTGAAAGCATGGACATGTCAAGAGTTTTCAAAGCGGTTGTTATAAAAAGAACACACTCATCTCTTAAAACAACATTTTGAATAACATGAAACACAGGCAGTAAAGCAGTAAAATGAATATATACCAGTTTTGGTTACTTGAACAAACAAGATCTCCGATTATTTCATCCTGGAGAGACCCACAACAGGGAATGCAATTAGAAGTTTATTTGATTAAGCATGTTTGGCGCCTTAGGCCCCTGAGCGATGATGTTGAGCGCGGCGCTTGCTCGCGCGCATAATCCCCCCCAGGGCCTAGGCACTGGTGGCGGCAGAGGCAGCAGGCAAGCACGCTCAAAATGGGAGGAGGTGGGGCGGCGGAGGATGCAAAGCTTGAGAAGGCCGGGAAGTGGGCGTCTCCGGCTTATAACTAGCGCCGAGGATGAGAGCCGGCCTGGAGGAGCTGGGCTGCAGGAACATCGGTACTTCGCGTATTAAAAAGTCCCGATGTTCCCCCGCCAATAGAAGTGGGGGAACATCGGGACTTCAACAACGAGACTAGTCCCGCTGTTCCCCGCGTGCGCCCTTTGATGTTTGATGTTTCCTCCTCCGCGAAAGATGGTATATGATCCTCGCCAACTTTTGTGAGAGAAAAAATACTAACTAGCCTAAGCCTATTTACTTTTCTTTTTCCCTCTCGCTCTTTGTGTGCTCATATTTCAGCTGATCGCAGCTTGAGTCTATGCAGGATATTTTTGGGCATGTTATGGGCATGTTATCTCCCCTTGCTCACTCTCCCATGGGCATCTATATTTGACAAGTCTGAATAAAATGAGGACGATTGAAACTAGAGCTACTACATCTGTTAGCCTATAGTTTTTCCAAATATGTGGTTTTGCTGAGGACACTGTGCTTTTACGCATAATGGACACGCATATGACGTCGTTTTTGTTGTAAAACTCGAATATGCTCTTATAGATTTTAGAGATATTAATACATATTATTCTATTCAGAACGCGTGCGTCATTGTGCATTGTTGTCCCCGCCTTACGTGTCACTCAGTTAAAATGTAAATAACCAACTCAAACATAGCATTTTTATAACTTGAACTTTAAGAAAAAAATGATCAAAGGAATCAGTGTAAAATAAGATCGGAAAAGCTCAATTCATGATTGTTTAATTAGGTTTCCCATTTTTAAATACAATTGGAAACGCTCAAAATTCAAAAATATTGAAAAGTTTAATGGCTCCTACAGTGGGGGGAATAATAATAATAGTAATAATAAAACTGCTAAAACAACGTCCATTGTTTTGTCTACTGCTTTGTTTTGATATGCTAAAGCGGCAGCATTGTTCGGTCACTTCTGTTTTTTTTTTTATATTCCATATTGTGTCCGTCTGTTTTTTGCGTGTAGCGAGCGCTTATGGAGGACCGTGGCTGCCAAAACAATAAATATATACAGAAATAAAAAAATAAAAAAAAAGATTTAAAAAATATAAAACTTGCAAATAAATGCATGCAATTATGAGAATAAGTACATTTAGTTCTGTATTTATTTATTTATATATTTATTTATATATTCATTTATTTCTGCATTTATAAATTTATTTCTCTTTCTGTATTTATTTTTGTATTTATTTATTTATTTCTCTATTCATTTATTTATTTTTCTATTTATTTATTTATTTTTGCATTTATTTATTCCTCTATTTATTTATTTTTTCTCTATGTATTTATTTCTGCAGTTATTTTTTTTTTCTCTATTTATGTATTTATTTCTGCAGTTATTTATTTATTTCTGTATTTATTGTTTTGGCAGCCACGGTCCTCCATAAGCGCTGTCGCATTTATCTCGACTGTGAAGCACGTTGGAGAAGTAGACCTGCTTCTAAAACTTGCACAGCACAATAATGCACTTTATTTTCAAATGTTTGTAACCCTATAGAATAATTCTATAGGGGGTGTAATCCTTACAGAAACCGCGGGGTCCGTGCAGAATAAAAAACAAAATCAGACCATTGTCCTCAAAAACTTGATTAGTCAACAAAACAGTCTTTACATTTTTACATATTTTGCCTATTGAAATTCAATGTTTTGTTTTCCAGTGGGCTCTCTTTTCTGTCTTCCTTTTTGTGTGCCAACTCGCTTGTGCCATAAGCCCCGATCTCTTTGCTGCGCTTCCTCAGCGTTCTCATTTAATATATGGATCGTTATGTCAAAAAACAGAGGCGCAAATACAGTTCAACCTCATTCAGTCTCAGTGGTGTCTCTCAGAGCGTCTGCACTGCAGGGAGAGGAGTGAGGACGCAATGCGTTGCCCCATTCGTAAAAAGACCCCTATTTTAATGTGCATAAAGCTGGAGTGCAGCCCTCAGAAAAAAACTTGCTGAGAGTTTGGAGCGGCTATGGCACGAGCACAGTCCAGCTACAACAAGAGCGGGTTGCGAGGATGAACGGAGGGAGATATGTTTCCAAAAAGAAAAGGTGGTGGAGCTAATTTTACTTTTCTTATCTGCAACACGTTCTTATTCTGAGGTGGTAGGTTGGAAAAATGTAGTTGGCTACTACAATGCGAGATCTACAAGGCTTATAATATAAAGTATTCAGTAGCCCTATAGACTAGTTATGAGCGAAAGCCGCTTGTTGCTTCATTATCCGCTCGTAGCCATCGGGCGCGTGAAGACGCGCAGCAAAAACATGTCTATGAGCGAGGCCCGCAGTCGGGGAACCCGGGCCCTCCGGCGTTTGGAAGGTCCGGTGTTCACATCGGACCTTCCAAACGCCGGAGGGCCCGGTGTTCCATCGGACCTGGGGAACATCGGGCCGACTCCGGTTGCTGTCATGGGAAGGTTGTCTGGAGTGAGAAATAAAGGTCCGTTAAGATCTTTTTGACAGCGGAAGCGAGAGTAACGCATCATGGACTTGTAGGGGCAGAGAGACGTATCGGAGCGGGCTATTATTATGTTGCAGGCGCCCTTACGCTTAGAATTCTTGAGGTGGAGATTAAATTGAAGTTGAGTGAGCAGTAGTGAACTCGCTTATGCGGAGAAAGTCGTAGAAGGCGAGCAGCAAGACGCTGCGAAGGAGGGCAGATGTGTACTTGGAAAATGAGCCGGAGTTCAGTGCCGCGCAGAGCAGCTGCAGGATGGGCAGCGTGATGGGGAGCCTGCGATCAGAAGAGTGAGGAGTACAGTTATGGATGCCTTGATGAGGAGTTTGATTGACGGCTCGGAGCGAGGACAGCTCAGCACGGCTACTTGGTCAGCTGCACCTGATAGAAGCAGAGAATTAAGCAGAGAGATGAAGCATGACAGCCGAAGCAAACCTGAGAGCATGGTGCGAGACAGCTCAGCACAGCTCTGCATCTATTTAGTATGGATAGCATGGACGAGACAAAATCCCGACAGCCTGCAGTCCGACGCGCGGGGTTAAAGCGGAGCCAGCAGACCATCGTACAGGGTTAAACAGAGAGCCTGCAGTCTGTCGCACAGGGTCGAAACTGGCAACTAGCAATCCAATGCGCTGGGTTAAGACAGAGCCTGCAGACCAGTGCGCGGGGCCAAACGGAGCCTGCAGACCAGTGCGCGGGACTAGAACGGAGCCTGCAGACCAAAGCACAAGGTTAATACAGAGAGCCTGCAGACCAACACACGGGGCTAAAATAGACCGCATGCAGACCTACAGGGCTGGAAGCTGAAGTGCGAGATTTTGCGAGAGTCCCACCCGTGGATACAAACAAAACACACGTGCCGGTAGCATGCTGCTCAGATCGCCGACGTCGTCCCCCTCCATGGATCTATTTCAGTGCCGCTTCGGACACATTTCGTCTCTGGAACAAAAAACTGAGTGCGCGTTCGGAATTAGCAGCGCAACTCCGGCAAAGCCCCGAAGTTTCCACACGGCGGGGAGACGAGAAAGGTGCAGGGCCGTGGTCAACTCATCGCTTTTCTAATCCACCATTAGACTTTAGTGATTTCATAACACCTTTAAGCAACTATGGTTAAAGTTCTAACTACATTCTTACATATGTAGAAGCCTGTACTTTTCCATGTTTTGTCTATCTGAAGGCCAAGCTACAAGCACACCGCGGCAGCTGCTGATTGGAGGTCTCCATGCCTCCGCTCTGTATAATACACTTGCATTCTGTTGTATCATTGTTCGTGCTGTCTCTACCATTGACAATAAAACCATGTCTTGACTTTTGCTCTGTCTGAATCAACTACCATTTTTGCGAATAAACAACCAAGCTGGATGCACAGGATCCCAGTATGTCTGAGTCTGATTTCCCACAATACATCAGAAAGAAAATACGGAACCAATATTCCCATGCGAATAAACAGATGTCGTCCCATACAGCCATCTTTGCTGCTTTGTGGTTGCCGCGAGTGGTTTGGACCACTCGCGGCCATCTTGGATTCCTCCATGAAAGCACTTTTCATGGCCAACTCCTATGAACGGCAGAGATAGGCGTGACTCTGTCCATTAATATATACAGTCTATGGTTAAAACGGAGCCTGCAGACCAAAGCACGGGGCGAAAACTGACACCTGCAGTCCAGTGCGCAGGGCAAAAACCAACCGCCTGCAGCCCAGACGCAGGGAACAAACCGTCCGCAGGTCAGCACACTCACCACCACGCACGCCAGAAGACGAGGGAAAAGCAACGGGACGACGCGGCACCGCCAATCGGAGGCAGGAACACGCACAGACCCCCGCACCGGCCAGACCGTCTGCACGCAGCAGCAGACCACAACGAGACGACCAGCAGCGAGTCCGCGGAGGGACCTCGCAAAGAGTAGAGCGACGGAGACACACGGGCCACAGCGCGCGATCCGCAGCAGGTGCAGGGACGCGGAGGAGGAGCAGACCACAAGCAGCCAGACTGAGAACAGCCGGGTCACACGCGACGAGCAACACGTGAGCAGAAAAGCGACCCCTCCAGAACAACGCATGCAAAGCTTGAGAAAGCTGGGAAGTGGGCGTCTCCGGCTTTTAACTTGCTGGCCTGGCGGTTATTGGTTGACTGGAAGTGGGTGTTGCTGTGCGATGAGCCGAGGATGAGATCAGGCCTGTAGGAGCTGGGCAGCAGGCCGGGTCTACCAGGATGAACTTGCGCAAAGCTTCATAATCGGGAGGTGGCTGTCACGTAGGTGAAAAACAAATGAGGCCCAAAATGCAAAAAATAATGGTTTAATAAAAAGATAAAACAAATCCAAAACACAGGGAACGAGGACAGAACTAAAACAGACTAGGAATGACAATGATGGAACCGGGAGTGAAGGAACACACAGGGCTAAATACAAGACTAACGAGACACAGGTGATACACATGAGGGCAGCGGCAGGTAATCAGACAACAGGAAGTACAACCAAAGAAGACACCCAGCTCCTGCAGAGATGGGCCAGAGATGACACAAAAAAAAAAAAAAGCAGTCTGCTTAGGCCTTGAGTGGTTCCGTCATTCTGTCACGTAGGTGAAAAACAAATAAGGCCCAAAATGCAAAACTGCAAAAAATAATGGTTTAATAACAAGATAAAACAAATCCAAAACACAGGGAACGAGGACAGAACTAAAACAGACTAGGAATGACAATGATGGAACCGGGAGTGAAGGAACACACAGGGCTAAATACAAGACTAACGAGACACAGGTGATACACATGAGGGCAGGGCAGGTAATCAGACAACAGGAAGTACAACCAAAGAAGACACAGGGATAACACATTTCAAAATAAAACAGGAAATAAACTTAAACCATGACAGTGGCGCAGCAAACACCAGCTTTAAGTAGCATTAAGGCTTAAGGCATTAGAACCCTCAACTAGATTAACAGCTGGAGGTTTGTTGCACTGTTCCAAGCGACCATAATTAAAACTTTGAATTCGTCTGTGTATTTCTGCTGTTGTTGTGTAATTGTTACCTAAGTGTTGCAGGAGAAGCTTCATCTCAAATTGAGCAACACCTTCAAATATGTCATGCATGATATCGACAGAAAAACTTGTGGCCATATGAAAATGTTGCCAGGAATTTAAAAGGCACGTGTTTTTCACGGCCATAACATAAGAAAAATGCGGATTACTCTTGATAATATAAGTTCTTTAGTTCGAAGTGAGATCTTACTGCTATCTTCATCGAACTCAGTTTCAAAACCTTACTTCTCCAGTAGGCAAAAACGACAACAATAACGAGCACTGTATGATTCTACAAAACCAAATAAAGAATGAATACCAAGGTTGTCTCCTGTAACTTGAATGATGGTTCCATAAACAGCATGTTCATAAAGGGGAATCTGAACTCCTTCAGTTTCAAGACGAGATATATCCTTGACTAGTGGTTCAAGGATATTATCGAATCCATACGTTTTGATGTCTTGTGCATGAAATAACGAAACCAAATGGATGCCAACTAAATTTGAGTTGTATTTTGGAGAAATATTTTGCAACGTAAAAAATATGGCTTCTAAATTGTGTATTCCACGCTTGGACCCATGGGGGTTAGCACACTCAAACTCATCAAAAAAAGAGCTGGATCTGAAATGCATATTTTTGCTTCAAGAAAACGGTATGACTTTTAAATAATTCTCCATCCTGTATATTGTAGAGAAACGTGTCAGTCTTTTCCCAATCTCTATTGGAGAAAACAGTTCTTAATCAATTCCAACAGTACAGCATCTGGACACAAATGGCATTTCAATTTGGAGAGACGAGAAACAAGAAGCTTTTGAGTATTTTATTGGGAGGAGGTTTGGCGCCCTAGGCCCCGGTGCGGCCTTCGGATCGGAGGGGCTCTGCGATGGAGCGTGCCAATCCCCCGGGACCTAGGCACTGGTGGCGGCATTTGGCAGCGGGAAGCAGATTGAAGGCAGAATGAAGGCAGGGTGAAGAGGAGGAGGAGGGGAGGCGGTGGTTGCAGGCTTCGAGAAGGCCGAGAATGGGAGTTCCTCCGCTTTTAAGCGGCTTGCCTGGCTGGACCGGTGATTGGAAGGGGGCGTTTGCCGTGCGATAGGCTGGGGATGAGAACCGGCCTGGAGGGGTTACCTTTAGCTGACGTCTACCAAATTGAACTTCCGCTGGCTGCATTTCAATTTGGAGAGACGAGAAACAAGAAGCTTTTGAGTATTTTATTGGGAGGAGGTTTGGCGCCCTAGGCCCCGGTGCGGCCTTCGGATCGGAGGGGCTCTGCGATGGAGCGTGCCAATCCTCAAAAAGGTTGTGAGTTGATAGAGTTTTGCAGCCTGGTTTGGAGGGGACAGACGTCGAGACTACTCTATGCTGTGACCGCTATCGCTATATACTGTGACCGCTATCGCTATATACTGTGACCGCTATCGCTATATACTGTGACCGCTATCGCTATATACTGTGACCGCTATCGCTATATGCTGACGACCATCGTGCGCTAACCATTTTTTGCTATATACTGTGACCGCTAACCATTTTTTGCTATATACTGTTGTTAGGATTTAAGCAGACAGAGACGGATCGTGGTGTGCCAAACTCTGGAAGTTTATTTAAGTTTCTCTCAAGTTCCACTGGTTTCCTCCGTTTCTTTCTCCCAGACAGAATAAAGGCAGTACACAGTTTATATAGTCATTGTCACGTCACACATCGAAAGACATACGTGTCACAAAGAGACAGTCACATCATAGTCATAACATGGAGTCCTTGTAGAGTCCTTGTACAGTCCTGCACGTAGGCCATATTGCTATCTAATACTAACACCCTCCCCTTTGATCACATAATCACATGTGATCATTCAATTTGATCAATCAATAAAGTGGAAAAAGAAAAAAAAAAAAATCAAAAAAAAAAACTTAAAAAAATTATTAAAAACAAAGAAAATTTATGCATTAAACTCATAATCATCAAATCAATATCAGTGGATTTTATCCTCTATCCTGGGAAAAAATAAACAAACAAAAAACAAATCAAAAATTAAAGCCGCAAGCGGCATCTAACGGCCCTCGCCGCACCGCGCAAAGGAGGTGGCGCTGACGCGCCATTTTTTTGCCCCCCTGATGGGAGCGACACTGTGTGTTTTGTACCTATGATTAGTGATTGTGTGTGTCTATTGAAAAGGTAAACCCCAGTCTCTCCATGTAACACTTGACTCAGTCTCTAGGGGGCGCTATTGCTGCAATTTCATGATTCACTCCTTCAGTTCACTCAAACCCAAGAGTTGAACAATCATTTCAAATTTTGTGCAAATCGGACTTTGTATGTGAAAATGGTGTTATTTAATGTTGTACAATAGCGCCCCCTACAATTTCAATGTATTACTGTTATACCAAAGAACACCAAAATAATACACTTTATGCCTGAAAAAAACTTGTGGCAAAGTTTGGTGAGTTTTTGTGTTTGTTCAGTGGGTCAAATTTGAGATCAAACGACAGAAAACCTAAATACCTGTATCCCCATGTAAATCTTTACTCAGCCTGTAGGGGGCGCTAATGGGACAATGTCATTGTTCACACTGTCATGTGACCTAGGCCCAGGAGTTGAACAACCGAGTCAAGTTTAGTGCAAATCAGAGTTTGTAAATGTGCTCCTGTTTGTTCATACAATCTGTGAGTGTGTCCATACAGTCTAACATGGAGATAACATGGGAACTTCACACCTCTCTATGAAAATAACCACACTTTGGGAGTCTGTCACGCTCAGACCGTTTGACTAATTAAAACTCTATATGCAACTATTGATGGTCCATGTGTTGAGACCATGTGGAGCGATTTTCAGACAAAGTAGTGAAACGGCCGCGGCTGGTTTGATGTTTGAGCGAGGTGTACTTTTCAGAGATTTAACAATTTCCCCATAAGCACAGACAGGGGAATGTTTGTTGTCACCACGGCAACAGGTTAAAAAATAATCATATGTTATCTTTGACTTTTTGAATCCAGACGACCAATCAGAATTATGTGCGAAATTTCAAACAATTTGGAACAACTAAATATGCAAAATTTTGTCATTGCCTGTAGGGGGCGCTATTGCTGCATTATCATGTTTTAGAGTTTTATTTTACCCAAACCTAAAAGTTAAACAACCGTTTAAAATTTGGTGTAAATCGGACTTTGTATGTGCAAACAGTTGCTTTTTTTTTGTAGAATAGCGCCCCCTACAATTTAATTTTTGTAGTTGTATACTAATGAACACCAAAATATTACAATGTGTGCCAAAACAAAACTTGTTGCAAAATTTGGTGGTAAAATTTGGTTTCCTAGAGCCCTGATGGGAGCGACACTGTGCCATTTGAGTTCCAATGAGCAGTGATTTTGTGTCTCTACTGAATAGATAAACCTCTTTCTCCCCATGTAACACTTGTATCAGTCTGTAGGGGGCGCTATTGTTGCAATATCATGATTCACACCTTCAGTTTACCCAAACCCGAGAGCTGAACAATCAATTTAAATTTTGTGCAAACAACATGTGGCACGCCGTGGAATAAACACTGGCACGCCGGCACCTCCGCATTATTCTCACTGTATCTGTCCTGTTTTAAAAATAAGAGCATCTCCCTCTTTGTCTGAGCGCTTTTTGATGGCCGGCACTAGGACCCAGCGGACACCACCGCGGGGATAAGCTGCTTCCTTCACACACACACCGTGTGTAGCTGTGGGTGAAGCCAGGAGCCAGCAGCTGCAGGTGTATGCGAGATTTAAACTTCTTTTTGCACATTCAAAGTAGTAACTGGTGTGCCATTCACTGCAGACGCCTCCTACAATCACTGGGACACGCTGTCAACACTGTGTGTGTGAAATCAAAGAGGGAACTGGTGAGTTTAAGCATTTTTGTGCTGCACAGAGCTAGGATGCTAGCGCTAGCCTCTGATGCGATGTTGAACTCGAATATTGTTGTTCTCATGTTGATTCCCTGTGTAGCCGACTATGCCTTTTTATGTGCTCATGTATGGTTACCAGAGCATGACATTTACTTGTGTGCTCTTGAATCAAAAGTATTAATACATTTATTTTTGAGATGTGCACTGAACTGAATGAATTGTATTGTGATTTATGGTGCAGAGGATTAATTGTGAATTATGAAGTGAGAATGAGCACTCTGATTATTGAGTATATATTTATTGAACATGTACATGTATTTTTGTAGTAGTGATATATTGCTAAATGAAACTGTTGGATATTTATATTGGTCCTGTCATGCAGGCCAGGTTCCTTGGATCCGTCCGTCCATATGGACTTCTTCTGATGGCGAGCTGCCCCAGGCCAAAAACCTAGAGATTGTCAACCCTACAGTGCGGTAGGAGGTGAGCAGTCTCCCTCATACAACACCACAAACTGAGACAATAACCTGAACTGGATTACTGCAAAGTACACGCTCCACCTTTTCAAACCAACCTGCCAAACGCAACTCAACCGGACTCTCTCACTCAAAACCTGTTCAATTATATTTTGTAAATATTGTAAATATTGTGAATGTGGGGTGTGTGTGTGTGTGTGTAATCTATCCCCTGCCTTTGTAAATATCTATTAGAGGTGCAACGGTTCATCACAGATCCGTGATCTGTTCAGATCAACGTCTTCGGTTCGGTACAGACGTGATCCGCGGTTTGATTTATGAAAAAAAAGTTGTGCGCATGTTGTTCAGTCCACACACAGCGTAATCATGGCGAGCGGAGGAACTTGAAAGCCCTGCGTCATTTAAATCCCCGGTATGAGAGCATTTTGGCTCCACTGTAACTATACTGATGATTAAATAGTCGACAAATTTAATCACTGATCCTCCTGCAGGTGCTGAGTCCACATGAGCAGAGTTTATTACAAAGACAAAACTTTTTAGTTGAAAAATGAACTGAACCGTGGCCTTTGAACCGAGGAACGATCCAAACCGGGATTTTTTTCAAACCGTTGCATCCCTAATATCTCTCTTAACATAATTCACAGCTGGATATTGTGAATATTGTGCAACGGTTCATCACAGATCCGTGATCTGTTCAGATCAACGTCTTCGGTTCGGTACAGACGTGATCCGCGGTTTGATTTATGAAAAAAAAGTTGTGCGCATGTTGTTCAGTCCACACACAGCGTAATCATGGCGAGCGGAGGAACTTGAAAGCCCTGCGTCATTTAAATCCCCGGTATGAGAGCATTTTGGCTCCACTGTAACTATACTGATGATTAAATAGTCGACAAATTTAATCACTGATCCTCCTGCAGGTGCTGAGTCCACATGAGCAGAGTTTATTACAAAGACAAAACTTTTTAGTTGAAAAATGAACTGAACCGTGGCCTTTGAACCGAGGAACGATCCAAACCGGGATTTTTTTCAAACCGTTGCATCCCTAATATCTCTCTTAACATAATTCACAGCTGGATATTGTGATATTGTGATATTGTGAATAATTCACAGCTTGGATATTTATATTGGTCCTGTCATGCAGGCCAGGTTCCTTGGATCCGTCCGTCCATATGGACTTCTTCTGATGGCGAGCTGCCCCAGGCCAAAAACCTAGAGATTGTCAACCCTACAGTGCGGTAGGAGGTGAGCAGTCTCCCTCATACAACACCACAAACTGAGACAATAACCTGAACTGGATTACTGCAAAGTACACGCTCCACCTTTTCAAACCAACCTGCCAAACGCAACTCAACCGGACTCTCTCACTCAAAACCTGTTCAATTATATTTTGTAAATATTGTAAATATTGTGAATGTGGGGTGTGTGTGTGTGTGTGTGTAATCTATCCCCTGCCTTTGTAAATATCTATTAGAGGTGCAACGGTTCATCACAGATCCGTGATCTGTTCAGATCAACGTCTTCGGTTCGGTACAGACGTGATCCGCGGTTTGATTTATGAAAAAAAAGTTGTGCGCATGTTGTTCAGTCCACACACAGCGTAATCATGGCGAGCGGAGGAACTTGAAAGCCCTGCGTCATTTAAATCCCCGGTATGAGAGCATTTTGGCTCCACTGTAACTATACTGATGATTAAATAGTCGACAAATTTAATCACTGATCCTCCTGCAGGTGCTGAGTCCACATGAGCAGAGTTTATTACAAAGACAAAACTTTTTAGTTGAAAAATGAACTGAACCGTGGCCTTTGAACCGAGGAACGATCCAAACCGGGATTTTTTTCAAACCGTTGCATCCCTAATATCTCTCTTAACATAATTCACAGCTGGATCATACCACTGTCTCTGTCTGTGATTTTAAACACCTCTCCCTCTGTGAGCCCAATCTTAGCTTCTAGTCCGAGCCCAAATACAATCAGTTTACTGGACTTAATATTGTTATATGCTACACTAGCTGTTTTTTCAGTCTTTGAAATGTTGATATGGCTAAATTATTTTGAATACAGATACTGTTATTGTTGAGAAAAAAATTCCAGGTATATTGGAAATGTTTATGTATTTTGTGTCATATTTTAACTGCGTTCATCGATGGTAATGGCACACTAGATGAGAAGAACATTTCAAACTGGCACTCCATGTCACAAACGTTGCCGACCCCTGGTCTATAATAATAACTGGAACATCCATGGATCTATAATAATAACTGACACATCCTGCTCCCACTGATGACTGCTGTCGTTGTGTCCTTGGGCAAGACACTTAACCCCACGTTGCCTGAAGCCCCCGCTGAAAGATCAAGGCGGTTTCTCAACTGATGGAGCAGCCATCTTCCTGTGGACTCACCCCCTGCAGAGGATCAGAGGGACTGGTGCTATGAGCATTGGGTGGCAGCTCTCATTGCCACCCCCCCGACCCAGAAATGGACAAACAAAGGGGTTGAAAATGAAATGAAAAAAATGAACATCCATGGAAACATTAACAGACATCTGTAAAATGAAGTTGAACACAGATGTTTGACACTGCTCTTATTCACTTTTATATCTCTTGAAAAGCAAACAGTTACTAATCACATTTGAGTTTAATGAATTAAATTATAAGTATAAGTACTGCTGACAAATATGTAGCTGTGTAAATAATACCTCACTTTGATGACTCTTTACATTTCACACAAACAACAAAATCATAATAAAACCAACAAGTTTGATTTTTGTTTTCTTTATTTCCAGGTTCTCTGTGAAGTGCTGTCGATGAGACCTGTGTCAGAGGCAGACGCCCAGGACTCTGCTGCTGCTCCTTCTGCTGCTGCTCCTGCTGCTGTTGCTCCTGCTGCTGCTGTTACTCCTCCTGTTGCTCCTTCTGCTGTTGCTACTGCTGCTGTTGCTACTGCTACTGCTGCTGTTACTCCTCCTGCTGCTCCTTCTGCTGCTGTTGCTCCTCCTGTTGCTCCTTCTGCTGCTGCTCCTTCTGCTACATGTCTTCAGAGATGCAGAGCCCACTGTTCTAACTATTCATGACAGGTGATTAAAGGAAAATATTATATACAAGTTTGTTGTAGTTCATAATGTTTTCAGCAGTGAAGCAGGAGGTGATGGAGGTGAAGCAGGAGGTGATGGAGGTGATGGAGGTGAAGCAGGAGGTGAAGCAGGAGAAACCTTAATTTCACCACAAGTCTCTGAAAAAGAAGAACACAAACATCATGCATTAAAACACAGCCCACATTTAGGATTCTCTATTTATTTGGGGCTTTGCAAAAAACTGGTTAAATATAAAATACAGAAATCCTTACAGTATTTAATATTAGAGATACAAGCTTCACAGCAGGGGAAACAGAAGAATGATATGATAGAAATATACACAAATAATCAAGTTAGAAGCATGGCTAACCACTTTAAACCTGTGTTTGTGGAAGTGGGACTTTGTCCTCTGCAAATGTCTTATGACAAACGAAACCTCTGTATAATGTGTGTTTACTATTTATTAGACTATTGTATGAAAAGGGCTTTATAATTATTCTTGGCCTATTCTATCATTTCATATGTCTAATATATACAGTTTTCCCAGTCTCAGTATGGGATTAAAAACGATATGCACAATCTATTTTATATAAATACAGAAAACATGTGTTAGCATACTATAGCTGCTGTGCTGCAGAGTGATTTTCCATGAAAACGTGAATCTCTCCTCAGTGTAGCTTTAATATTTAATCAGTGGGTTTGTTTCTCCCTAAAAGATAAAACACAACATGATTTCTCTTGTTCAAAAACCGAATCTGAATGAACTAGCTAGCCTCGTAGCATTAGCATTAGCTTTTTGGGACTGAGCTTATTCACAGCAGATAACAAGGTTAAACACACACATCTGTGGCAGATCTAACTTATGTCTGTGTTTTACAGTCGTGTTCAAAACTCATCAGTAAAGTATAGCAATGCTTACCATAAGTTAGCTCCAGCAGGTCCGACCTGAGTGTTGTTTACATGTTACCCCTTTAAGCGCCAAAGTCGCAATATTGCGACAAGCAACATTGCTCACTTAAACAGGCTGTATGTAAAAATGTGGTGCAGAATCTTGTTAATACTTTTCACCAGGGGTTAGTGGACATGTGTGCCTGTAATATGAGCAACATTTGTGGGTGTGGTTATATTGAAAGTTTTTGAGTAAATTGAGTTCGTAAAACACCTGCGGCGCAGCAGCGCGGAGGCGAAGCAGCAGCAGCGGTAGAGCTGAGAGGAGCGAGAGCAGAGCAGAGGGAAAGAGTGTTTTTTATTTTACTCACGAGGTCTTCAGTACCAGAGAAGTACTTGGTCTGGTACTGGCTCACTCAGATTCAGAGGAGGAAGACACACAGGTGTCCAGTGAAGCAAACACAGACATTATTGGTGACGGGGAGAACGCTCCATAGTCCACAGTCAGCCCCTGTACAGCGGCTGCTTGTCCTCCGTGTGGCACCGGTAGAAGCATTCTGTGAACGCCAAGCAGGGGCCGTGGTCGAGGGGACAGGGGCATCATAACACCGGGCATGTGGGAGAAAGTAGCGGGGGTGAACATCCACGGGGAACACGGGAGACGCGGGAGAAGTCGCGGGAGAGACGCGGGAAAAAAACACATCGCTTTTTGCGTTCACTGCCTTTACCAATAGTGATGATGAGGATCAAGGCAGTTCTTGAGAGAAAATAATCCACAAAAGTGGATCAGAAGTGTTGAAGAGCCTGTTGTTTCTTGTTGAGACGATCTGACATGTTCTGAGCCCATTCATTTCATCTCTCTGTTTCTAAACCATAAATCCAGGAGCCTCATTTCCACTGAGAAAAATAGTAAGCCCACCACTTCTTTGAAAGGGAAATATTGAAACCAAACTCCAGATTTCATGACTGTAAACTATAAAGAGAGCTGTCTTGATCACTGAAGATCTTTGAAAATAATACAATTCCATATGGCCGCGAACCAGTGCTAAAACATTATCTATAATCTGGATCAGGGAATTTATTTCTATCCCAAATTCATTTCATACTAAAGATAATTCACACTGACTGTTTGTAGTATTCCCTGATCTAAAAAAAACTCCCAAGCTACAGCTTTTTGAAGTCTTTATACAATAATTAACATTTTCCAAAATGGCCGCCACCTTGATGACGTCACAATATGCAAATTAGATGACGAATCAACTTCCATCCCAAAGTTTGGTTCAAACTGAAGATATTTCTAATTTACAGTATGCCTTTATCTCAAACCATTTTAAAGTTATAGCCTTTTGAAATCTTGAAATCAAAATTGTATATTTTCTTGAAAAAACTCTGGCGCCTAAAGGGTTAATACTGAACGGAGTTCTGAACTTCTGCGCATGCGCGGCCGTGACTCGGCAAAAAGAAGGCAACGAAGCATACATCAGATGCATCCTTCATATCTGCTCCAAAAGTGGCCGTTTCCATAGAGACGAAGTCACGATGCCTACAGCTTTGTACTTGTTTTAATCATTGTAATAGTTATAATAATCATTGTGACATTCATTGTCGGCCATCTTAGGCCAGGAGGCGGGACATACAACTTCTCGTGATTGGCCCTTGTAAATGTGAAGCTCTCTTATTGGCTGCATGCTCTGATATAAAAACTATAGACAGCCATTTTCTCTTTGCAGATTTAACTTTGTTAACATCTGTTCCCTTTTGCATCTCTGCTGGAATATTTTATTCTACGAGAAGCTGCTTCAACTCCTGGATTCACTGCTTGGATTAGCTGATTTTTTTCAGTCTTTTCTGACTTGTGTGTCCATTCATCTACATCTCCACAAAACCTAAAACTACTTTTAAAAAAGAGAAGAAAAACTCTACAAGAATAAAGGTCCTTTTTAGATCAACTGTTGATCGCCTGCAAGCATCTTTCACTGAAAGGTAAGCGCTGGTTTGTACACATGCTAATGTTTGAAGCTTCTTTTCCTCTGCTCTGTGCTAGCGGCTTACGTTGGGGTGTTCTTCTCTGGACTGCTGTTGGGCTGTATTTATACAGTGGATTAAATCTGCTTTAGTCCTATTTGTCTTAAAATGTTATAGTATTATGTGATAAAAAAAATATATAGATATGTTCCTGCTCATTTGAAAGTACTGGTTGTGTTTGAATCGCTGCTTGGCTGTGATTGGTCCGTTTAAAAGATGCATGGGTTTGTGTGTGTGCAGACTGTGATGTTAGTGTTGCTGGTGTTTGGTAAAATGTATTTTTAACCTGCTTTAGTCCTACTTTAGTCCTATTTGTCTTAAAATGTTATAGTATTATGTGATAAAAATATATAGATATGTTCCTGCTCATTTGAATGTGTCTGCTTGTGTTTGAATCGCTGCTTTGCTGTGATTGGTCCGTTTAAAAGATGCATGTGTGTGTGTGCAGACTAGGCACTTGTGATGTTGGTGGTGTTTGTGGTAAAAAAAAATGTGTTTGGAACCTGCTTTGGTCCTACTTTAGTCCTGCTTTAGTCCTATTTGTCTGTAAATATTCTAGTAATGTTTTTTATATTATTTAAATAAGGGTTGTGTGTGTGTAAGATGGCGTTTATGTCAGTCCTGGTTAAGAGTGTGCAATTAAAGCTGGTATACATAAATTAACTAACGTTAAGTATTTTTTGTGAGATATAAACATTTAATTTAATATCTTTACAGATATTAATATTATTCATGTAATGTCTATGTATAACTTAAAGATAAAGCTTTAACATGTCTGCCAAATGTAATATTGAAAATATCAAAAAGGCTTTATTGCATGTTTTTTCAATATTTCATGGATGCAGCCATTTTGTCTGCAAGGAGCTGGTCATGGCAGCTCAGAATTAATTTAGAACAGGTTTTTATAATCTGCTTTAGTCCTGCTTTAGACCTGCTTCAGACCTGCTTCAGACCTGCTTTAGTCCTGCTTTAGACCTGCTTTAGTCCTGCTTCAGACCTGCTTTAGACCTGCTTTAGACCTGCTTCAGACCTGCTTTAGACCTGCTTCAGACCTGCTTCAGACCTGCTTTAGTCCTGCTTTAGACCTGCTTTAGTCCTGCTTCAGTCCTGCTTTAGACCTGCTTTAGACCTGCTTTAGTCCTGCTTCAGACCTGCTTTAGTCCTGCTTTAGTCCTGCTTTAGACCTGCTTTAGACCTGCTTTAGACCTGCTTTAGTCCTGCTTCAGTCCTGCTTTAGTCCTGCTTCAGTCCTGCTTCAGTCCTGCTTCAGTCCTGCTTTGGACCTGCTTTAGACCTGCTTTAGACCTGCTTCAGACCTGCTTTAGTCCTGCTTTAGTCCTGCTTCAGACCTGCTTCAGACCTGCTTTAGACCTGCTTTAGACCTGCTTCAGACCTGCTTTAGTCCTGCTTTAGACCTGCTTTAGACCTGCTTTAGTCCTGCTTTAGTCCTGCTTTAGTCCTGCTTTAGACCTGCTTTAGACCTGCTTTAGTCCTGTTCGGTCCTGATTTAGTCCTGCTTTAGTCCTGCTTTAGACCTGCTTTAGTCCTGCTTTAGACCTGCTTTAGTCCTGCTTTAGTCCTGCTTTAGTCCTGCTTTAGTCCTGCTTTAGACCTGCTTTAGTCCTGTTCGGTCCTGCTTTAGTCCTGCTTTAGTCCTGCTTTAGTCCTGCTTTAGTCCTGCTTCAGACCTGCTTTAGACCTGCTTTAGACCTGCTTTAGACCTGCTTTAGACCTGCTTTAGACCTGCTTCAAACCTGCTTTAGACCTGCTTTAGTCCTGCTTTAGACCTGCTTTAGTCCTGTTCGGTCCTGCTTTAGTCCTGTTCGGTCCTGCTTTAGTCCTGTTCGGTCCTGCTTCAGTCCTGTTCGGTCCTGCTTCAGTCCTGTTCGGTCCTGCTTTAGTCCTGTTCGGTCCTGCTTGAGTCCTGTTCGGTCCTGCTTGTGACCTGCTTTAGTCCTGTTCGGTCCTGCTTTAGACCTGCTTTAGACCTGCTTTAGACCTGCTTTAGACCTGCTTTAGTCCTGTTCGGTCCTGCTTTAGTCCTGTTCGGTCCTGCTTTAGTCCTGCTTTAGTCCTGCTTTAGACCTGCTTTAGACCTGCTTTAGACCTGCTTTAGTCCTGTTCAGTCCTGCTTTAGTCCTGTTCGGTCCTGCTTTAGTCCTGTTCGGTCCTGCTTTAGTCCTGCTTTAGTCCTGCTTTAGACCTGCTTTAGACCTGCTTTAGACCTGCTTTAGACCTGCTTTAGACCTGCTTTAGTCCTGTTCAGTCCTGCTTTAGTCCTGTTCGGTCCTGCTTTAGTCCTGTTCGGTCCTGCTTTAGTCCTGTTCGGTCCTGCTTTAGTCCTGTTCGGTCCTGCTTGTGACCTGCTGTTTCAGACCTCAGTGTGTGTTCTCTGCAGTGTGTATAATATTAAATCTGTGATAGCTGCATGTTCATAAATATTCCATAGTGTTTGTGCTGATAATGTCATGTAATGGAAACAATACAGTGTCATGTATTAGTCTTATAATGATGCCTGCTCCTTGAAACCAAGATGGCTGCCTCTATGAGAGATGGAGGATGGAGTCAAAAGACTGTCATGTTAAAGGATGTCTTATATATTAATGAATGATGTATTATTTTTATTGTTAATTAGGTTGGGACAGTACATGTTAATGAACACATCACTCCAGATTGTAACATGGGCTAATATCCATCCGTGTCCCACATTCACACTCACAAACACACACTCACAAACACACACTCACAAACACACACTCACAAACACACACTCATTCACCCTGAACTGTTGCACATGTTTTTAGTGGTAGAGGAAACCGGAGTACCCGGAGGAAAACTGACATGTATAAGTAGTTTTAAAGTGATATATTGAACTGTAATGCATAGATTTAATCTTATTAAACATATTAATGTTATTGAATTCATTTGTATTTATCACAATACTTGTAACTCATCATATTTTGATGACACAACATTCTATGCAATGAATGTGTTTTCAATATGACATAT